CACTCCCAGGATAAAGTGTCCCACAGGCTCTCTGCCTCTGCCAGTCCTAGCACTGTACTGACCCTGGGTTTCTGACCACCTAATTACAACAGAGCATCAGAAAGACTTTGGCAGCTGTCAACATTATGCGATTTCTGCCCAGAGATCTGAGTGTCAAAAAGAGGAAGCTCCCTGAAGCTCAGGGAAGGGGCTGCAGTAACAATGACTCTTGATGAAGTCAATGCCTAGACACCAAACTAGGGGTCACGATGAGAGACAGGATTGTCCCTGCCCTCACACTACCAACTGACCATCAGTGGTCCATTTTTCCCACTGAGGAACTTCTTTTCAGAAATGTACTTTTGCAAATTCATTGTTGCATACAATAAAACTAATCAAAGAATTACATAGTAATGAATAAGAATCAAAGTGTACCAGTCTTTCCAAAAGCGCCAAGTGCATTAGTCGAGGTTCTCTGGAGAGACAGAAACAACGGGATATAGGAGAGTGGATTTATTAGGGGAACTGGCTCACATGATCACAGGGACAGAGAAGTCCCATGACACACCGTCTGTAAGCTAGAGGACTAGAGAAAGCAATGGTGTGGCTCATTCCAAGTCCAGAAGCCTCAGAACTAAGGAAGCTAACAGTGAAGCACCCAGTCTGGGGCCCAAGGCCTGAGAGTGCTTGGGAGGCTGCTGGTGTAAGTCCCAGAGTCCATAAGCCAAAGAACCTAGAGTCCAACGTTAAAGAGTGGGAGGAGAAAAAGGCATCCCACTGGAGAAGGGAGAGGGAAAGCAGAGAGAATGAATCCCTCCTCTTCTGCCTGTTTGTCCCAACTGGCCCTCCCCCAGCCTTGACTTTAATCCAGAATATATGGAGACTTTAAATTGTCTCGTATTTTTAAGGCCACCATCATTTGCTATCTCAAGCAGTTGATCCTCTTCTAGCACGGACTAAGTCTATTCACCCGGCTTATTCACAAATGGGTCATGGATCCATTCCTTCCTACTCTGGGGGTCTTTGTGGTTGGGAAGTAATGCTCAAACTCTTGAAAGCTGAGATAGGTGATCGTGCACCAGCTGGGAGAAGGAAGGCCCTGGCTCAGCCTCTTTCAAAACCTCTGATAATGTTTGAAACATGTCAAAAATCCCAATGTTCACTCATCACTCCCATAATTCCAGTTTGGCTTTGAATGTAGCCACTTTATCTGCCGATTTCAACACAGTTGTCATTCTCCCCTCAAGTGACAGATTGACTTTGCTGAGCAGGTTGAACATGTCACACAAGTAAGCAAGTTTAGGGACCCATTCTGTGTCACTGAAATGTGCTGCCAGTGGGGACTGTTTCTCTAAAAGAAATCTCTGGAGTGGCTCTCGTAACTCAAAAACTCTGGCCAGTGACTTACCTTTAGAAAGCCATCTCGCTTCTGTGTGTAAGAGCAGATGTGAGTGCTCTGTGTCCAGCTCCTCACGGAGCTACGTGAACAGACATAAGTTAAGGGCAGGTACTTCAACGTAGCAGAAAATGTGAATCACATCCTGCAAAACGTTGTTTAGTTCAGGTGACATTTTTCGGCTAGCCAGCATTTCTCTATGGATGGTACAGTGCACAGACTCACATTCAGAAGCAACCTCCTTGACCCAAGTAGTGAAACCAGAAAGCCGTCCAGTCACGGTAGCGGCTCCACCCGTGCATATATCGACACAAAAGGACCCATTCAGATTTCCTGACATGTAGTCATTCAAAGACCTGAATAGTTCTGCAGGTGTGGTACTGGTTGGCAACAAAAGTACACATATCCTCACGCACATCCTCCTGAAAAATATATTGCACAAAAACAAGCTTTGTGGCCTTGTCAACAGTGGTAGACTCATCTGCCTGGATTGTGTACCAGGGTGACTCATTAATCCTTTCTAACACTGTGCCTCGGTATCCTCTATTTCATGAAGTTATGGTGCTAGTCGAAAGGGGAACATATGTCACCTTTTGAACTGCAGCCTCTCCAAAAAGTTCACGGCCAATGTCCTTAGCAGCAGGCAGGATCAACTTTTCACCAACAGTAAAGGGCTTCTTAGCTTTAGCAATGCGGTTGGCCCCTAAGAATCATGCTCTCAGTGCAGACATATTTGATGAAGTGATGGCCTTCAGTAATTGCTTCCGTTCTTTGTGTTCATGTTTTTGTCTTTCGAAAAACTCCCAAGGCTTTTCTTTTAATGCAGGGTACTTGGTCTCCATGTGCCGAAGCAGTTTTGAAGGTTTCATGGCTTCATTGGATAGCCAGTTGCCACACACTATACAAAGCGGGCTTGGAGAATGTGAATCAACTGTTGCAATGAACCTGCAATTTAAGCAGGACTCTTGGTATTTTCTTTTAAATAAAACTTTCATTTTGTTGGCAGTCTTAGAGTCTGCTGCTGTCTCATCATTGGGTCTTTCCCCCTTTTCAAAGAAGCTCTCCAGCAACCTTTGTTTTTTACTCATTTTTGCTAGGGTTAGCTTGTGGGCTCACCAAACTGTGACTGAGACAAGCGCACAGTGCAGGAAGAGGCACAGACGTTGGTAGTAAATTAAATAAGGGACGGGTCCCGCACGGACTAAAATAAGTGTCGGATTCTGACTTAAAGCCTACCCCAGATGCACCTGTACGACTGAAGTACATCAACTCACTTGCCACTATAAAGCCTGCCACCAGATGCAGCTTAATTGTCACCTGCCACCGACTGATAGAGTTTTGA